GCTGAAAGATTCTTTGGGGTGATCCTTGTTTAGTTTTTTACATTTTCACTTAATAAAAAAAATTAAATATATTTTCAATTTTCAGATGTAGATGAATTAGTTTCTATCTTTTTAATTCATATAATTTAAAATATATATATTTGTTTGTCTCCCAACATAATTGACATTATATAAATTATAATTGCGAAAATCAGACTGAATTAGTTAGTCCAGAATCGATGATTTGGTCCACCTAAGAAATCGATATGGAGCAAGTTAGTCAAAAGTTAATAAAATTGATCTAAAATCGATAAAACACCAGTTTGAATTAATCTAATTAAAAAATAAAATTTTAATTTAAAATATTTTTAATTAAAATAACATTTAATAAAAAGTTATAAATTACAATAAAAAAAATTAATACTTGTCTCCTAAATATAACTTAGTAATTTATAATAATTTATAATTTATAATATTTTTATTTTTTATGATTTATATTATATTAATTTGATATTTTTATTTTAGATGTACATTTGTTATTAGTGAACATTGCTATATTTTACGTATATATTAAATATTAAAAAAATCTATAAATAACATTTTATTTTAATATTTAGTGTTATAAAATTATAATATTATATTTATTTAATATTTTTATATTTATTATTATTATTATTATTATTATTATTATTATTTTATTAGTACTAATTTGATCATAATTCAACCACAATTAAATCATTAAACCTTAGTCATTCAATTTTAAAAATATTAATATAAATGAAGACAATTATGAAATATCGGTTAAACTTGATGTTATATTTTTACTAACAATAATACTAATATATAAGTTTTATTTAACAAATTTATTAATGACATTTGAATATTGAGATTAAAATAAAATAAAAAAATATCAAATTACAAAAACTACAAAAATTAACTTTAAGTTTGAAAGACAAAAATATAAGTACCTCAAATATAAGAGATTAAAAATATATTTTTAAATAAAAATACTTCTCTGAAATTTTGAATACCTAACCTAAATATAGAATATTTCATCTTATATGTTAAATGCTAAGATAATTTGTTTGTGAAGTTAAGAGCTAAGTAATTCGAAAGTAAGAATATCTTTGATTTACAGTTTAAATTAAACAGACATTAGGTGTTATTCAATAGTGAAGAAACGTTAAACCTATTTGTTTGATAATTTTTTCTCCTATTGAATTGAATGATATTTCTATTTCAATACCTCTATCAACCAAAGCAACATGATGTTGCTTTTAGGTTAACATAAACGAGTTTTGTACACAAGACACTATTTTACTGAAAAATATCTGATTGTTCAATATATAAAATCTATTAAATTCATAGAAGTTTATATATATATATATATATATATATATATATATATATATATAAAAATTTGATTTTTTTTCTATATTTTTTTATAATTATATATATATATATATAACAATTTGACTTGTTTTCTATATTTTTTTATAATGTTGATTTGATTATTGTTGTTTTACCTATAAAATTTATACATATTTAAAAGTACTCTTAATTATTATTATTTAAACAAATTTCTATTTTAATAAAAATACTTTGAGAATAAAGATAAAGAAAGAAAATAAAGTCAGGGAGAGAATTAATGAGAATTGAGTATGTCAGGATGTGATAACAAATTCCCTTAGATAGCTGAAAGTTTACTAATAGTTCTACTATTTTTTTAATTTTCTCATGTTTTTAATAATTACTATCAGAGTCATATCTATCTACATATACTTTTTAACGATATTGGATTATGTGAATAGATGAAATGATTTTTTTTTTCTAGTTTCATTTCATTTGTTCTTTGTTAATTAGTCCTCCTAATTATAACGTGTCCTGGTTTGATTGTTAAATTGATTCAACCTACATGCTAAAATAATAAAGTAATTTATAATTTTTTAAAAAGATTTTAGACATTTTTTCCCCAAATTGTATTGATAGTTATATTGAAATTATTATTCCTTAACAAAATTCATACCTGTAAAGTTTAAATTTTGTTTGAAATATTTTAAACTTTAAAATATGAAATTACTTGACTTAGTTATATTATTAACATGATTCTAAAATTAAAAATTAGCATGTTCAATTCTAAATTTGAATTCTAATTTAACATACCACTAACATCTTTACATTGTGTAATTGTATTACATCACTACATTTAATATACTACAGTTACTCGCTAATAGAAATATAAAACAATTATTTAAGGTTAACATGCAAATAGTTTCTAAGAAATATATGTAATATATATATATATATATATAGAGAGAGAGAGAGAGAGAGAGATATGTGTGTGTATGTATGTATGTATAAAAGGGGTATATATAATGAGATTGACAATTTTATGA